CTATAATAAAGAGTGTCTGTTAGCAATTCATACTCATAACCAAAGAATACAAATATTAACTAATTTTCGGATATCGATGGTTTAAAAAAAACACTACGAATCATGCAGATAAAATTTGTTAAAAATGTCAAATCACCAATCCAAGGATCAGATGATGTGGTATTAAAACAGAACCCTTTGAAATTGATGAGGTTTGCTTGCTCTGGTTTCTCTCTCTATTTATTTGTTTATAGAGATATAGAGAGAGGAAGCTTTGGAAAATCCCATAATGAAGAGAGGGGAGAGACAGTTCACTCACTATGAGCTTATAACAAATAAGGTGGTTGCGTCCAATATGGGGGAAGAAGAGAGTTTTGATGTTTGGGTTGATACCTAAGGGCATTTTAGTCTTTTTATCCTAATTTAACAGTCAAAACTCTTACAATTGGATGGAAGGACTATTTAGAATGACAAACCTAAACCTCAGGGACGTGCTAAATATTTGACCAAACAATGAGTACTACTTAAATAACTTGGTCATACCTCAGAGACGAAATAATAATTTTTCCTTTTAGTTATAATGTTTTAGCTGTGCCACTTATTATAATATTTAAATAATTAAACTTCTAATTTAAGATCTTTTTCAGTAACATTAGTGATTTTAATAGTTGTTAGTTATTTTTGTAACTTTATAAATACGAGAATAGGAGAATAATGAGATTTCCAATAATGCTCTTCATGAAATTTAAATATCTTAAAATAACCTTAGTCATTACCAATTAGAAAATTATATTTTATTAGTTGATTGAATATAATTTATTAAAATTATTTAATAAACAAATACATATAGATAATGAATCATTTCAAAATTTTAAGTTTTATCTTTTTCAAATTTATTTTTTAATAAAATATATATTATAATGACACATTTGAAAATCTTTATATTTTATTTTTTAAATTTATTTTTTAAATATTTGATTCTGTTTTTATTATAACTAGATGAAGGCTCGTGCTTTGCGCGAATTACTTTACCAATTTATAATTTATAAACAATATATATTTCTAATATATGAATTGTATTTAGTATATGTGGGTTGCTTTATTAAATTGTTGTGTTATATAGAAATTATAATGTTGTTAATTTATTTAAAATAATCATAAATTTCAATTAGTCTAGCAAAGTTTTAGTTAGAGTTTATAATTCAAAAATTATTTTTTATCCTAGATAATTCTACATAAAGTATAAAGTTCTAGAATTCAAATAATTAAATGTGGATAATATACAACAAAATAATAGATACATAAGAAAAAAAATTAAATAATTCAATATGAATAATACTTTGTTAAATTAAAAATATTAAAAGCATAATTATCTAAGTATAACTATTTCAAAAATAATAGATATAGATAAAAAAAATTCAAAAGTTTTTTCAAATGTTCAGATACTAAGATATTCGTAAAAGGATTTCCACTAATTATTTCAAATAACACGCTTGCGTATTTTTATATTAACTTATAAATTGTAAAAAATAAATTACTATAATAACAATATTTAAATAATAGCAATAACATCAACATGAAGAACAATTATACCGTTAACAAATGAGAAATAAGATAATTAGGAGTTTGGTTAGGTTGCTATTTTTATTTGTTTTATCAAATTAATAGCATTGTTTAGTATTTTGCATGCACAAATCTGAGTAAAGAACCAACTCCACATATGATTAGATTAAAACTTTATTAAATTATTGTGTTATTTAAAGTAAAGCAAGTCTATTTAAATATGATGAGATTCCATCCCACCATACAAAAATAACAAACAGAAAATTACACTAATTAAAAACTTGCCAAACAAATTCTAGTTGTCATAATAAAAGCTACGGATGGAAAGCAATCATCGTTATGTATCCTAATAACTCGATCCCAATAAAAAAATCTTATAGAAACCAATCAATAGACATAGAATGTTAGAGTAATTGTGATAGATTACGAGAAAAAGAAATAAAAAAAATAATTATAAATAATAAAATATTGATTTAAGAGGATGGATATCTTTATAGTCCAAATAAAATTAAAAAAACGAACAATAAATATATAAAAATATATATATATAAAAGAGCAATACAAATACGATACCTGATCAGATCTAAGCTTTCTATTTTTTTTCAACTCATTTAACAATAATATCAATGAAAAATCAAATATAAAATAAATGAACTAATAAAAATAGAAAGAGAGAATTATAATTGAAGAAATGAAAGAAGGAAAAGAATTATATAGTAAAAACAAGTTAAATCTTTATAGTCTAAATACAATTAAAAAAAAAAGGAAAAATATATGAAAAGGCTAATGTTATCTTTGACAAATAAAAAAGTGTTCTATAGTTCATAATTTGAAAAATAAAAATAGCAAAATTTAATATGAATATAAATAAATATAAATATATCAAGATAAAGAAGAAACAAAAGAAATTAAAAAATAAAAATAGTCATTGAATCAAACTAAGTGGTTTGAGATTTAAAAGATAGAGAACAGTGGAGTTATATAAATAGTATTCACCTACAGCTTACAAATTTATAAAAAATAGAAAATATTATTAGATTTTTAGATGATAACGTGATAAAAGGAATTGGTTTAGTCGAAGAGGTTTAGAATTTGATTTTTTTTTCGAATGAATTTTAGTGATAATAATGTAAATTATATTATTTTTAATAGACAAATAATTATATTTTTTGTTAAAAATGAATTAAAAGTCTAGATAATTTGTAAAAAAAGAAAAAGAAGAATTCTGAAACCAAAGAATACCAAGTCAGCATTTACAAAAGATTTTATGATTCAGGATTATATATAATGAATAAAAAGTCTAGACTAAATTTTTGTAAAAAAAAGAAAAAAGAAGAATTCTGAAACCAAAGAATACCAAAGTTCAGCATTTACAAAAATTTTATGATTCAGGATTATATATATATATATATATATATATATTTAAAATATTTCATTTAGGAGAGAGATAAAAAATATATATTTTTGTAATAATATTTTTTATGTTTTATATAATTTGATTGAATATATTTTTTAAAAAAAAATATTTCAAATAGAAGTAATACAATAATTAAGCCTGTCAAAAATTTTTAAATTTTAATTCTATGAACATATGGTGTGTATAATGACGAACAATAAAGATTTCAAGTTTTTATCTTTTTAAAATTTATTTTTTATTATTTTTTAATAAATATATATGATAATTACTTAAAAAATTTTATTTTTTATTTTTGAATATTTGATTTTATTTTTATTATAATTTAAAATACTTTATTCAAGATAGAAATAAAAAAAAGAAAAATATATTTTTTTATAATATTCTTTTTTCTTTATGTTTGTATAATTTAATTGGATATATTTTATTAAAATAAATTTTCAAATAGTACATATATAATTAATCCTTTCAAAATTTTTAAATTTTACTTTTAAAATTTTATTTTTAATTAAAATGAACATGTGTTGCATGCGGAACAACGAATAGTTGAAAATTTTAATTTTAAAAGTATATCTAATATTTTATTGTTATATCTATGTATCTATATATATTGAAACGTATTTATTAGGTAATATTATAAAATTTTGTATATATAGGTATAATAAATTTTAAATAAATAACGATATAAATTGAATTACGATATAAATTGAATTAAAATGTGTATATATACTGCTCATTTTTATTAATTAAACAGTTAATACTTCAACATTCATCTCACAATATAACAATTTTTGTTTTGAAACGTATTTATTAGGTAATATTATAAAATTTTGTATATATAGGTATAATAAATTTTAAATAAATAACGATATAAATTGAATTAAAATGTGTATATATACTGCTATTTTATTAATTAACAGTTATATTCACATTCATCTCATATACAATTTTGTTTTAATATTATAAAAATCTGAGTAATATAAAATAAATTTTATATTATATTTAATATTAAAAAATAAAAATGAGTACAAATAATAAGTAAAAATAAGCAATGACATCAAAAATTGAATGAGTATAATCAACGTATAAATAATAAACGTATAAATAATAAGTAAAAATGAACAATGACATAAAAAATTAAACGAATATAGCCAATGTGAAATGCATGTCGTAAAAAGACTAATATATATAAAATCACGTGATCAATTCTTAGACTTTTTCTATCCTGTATCTTTGGGATTAATATATTTTTATATCTTAAATGAGATAATAGACACTATGACGTTATAAGATATATAGATTGGCGAATAATTTAATTTAAGTTTCCTATATGAAAAACACGACATTTAAGGACGAAATTTATATGTAAAATTTTATAATATGTATTAATAAATTAGATTACCAATCAAATACGACAGAAAAAATGTGCCGGCAAGTCCCCTGATGCAGGGTAAATTACTGATAGTGCAATATGCGATTAGTAGTTTCCAACAACAATTCAGTAATTATTTCGCAATTCATTGCCAAAATATGGTTTCAAGCCGTCAAGAGTCGCTCAATTTTGTAGGCTCAATTTTGTAGGTAGGACCATAGACCCCTATAGAAAATAGGGAAGGGGAGATGAGAGAGTCCGAACTCAGCTCAATCGTAAAAGTTAAAGATAACACTTATTATAGCAAAGGGAACCTCAATACAGACTTAACTTGGCTTGAGTTGAATAATAAAATTCAATTTAAATTGAATAGCATGATCAAACAAATCATAATACTTATTTTTCCTTCATACATATGTTATAGTATACTTATAATTTATCTCTTATTATAATATCTTAAACAAATAACTAAAATGAATATCAGAATTTAGAGGGAAAAAGAACAACTTATAATGGTAGCTCAAGTGAAAAAGAACAAAAAATTTACAAAACAGAGGAAGGAATACATAGGGCATTAATATTTTTGGCAAATTTACCTGAGCATGTAGTGTGATCTAATAAAGCTTGCACATCGTTAAAGCAAGCTTTACCCAGTGACCAAAACAGAATAAATCAAGCAATATGCATTTTTAATCTATTTCAAAAATTTTAACTGTAACATAGTTTCACAAAAATTATATTTTTGTATACTTGCTCTGAATACAAAACTGAAGCATAATTTGAAACAGCATCAACAAATAAATAATATCTCACCTTTAACTCTAATTTTTGGCGCATTGAGTCTATGATTGTCGTTTTTCAGATTCAATATCAACCCTTGAAACAGGATGATGATACATCATGTAGATTGTTTCTGCAGGGTGTAAAATCTCTGAAAGTTACAAATATAGATACTGAAAGCATACATAAGACAAGCATAAACACATGCAGTGGCGCAAAAGCATAAAGACTAAAGTTAATGGTAGATAATAAACCAATTTAGGGCACTTTGCAAAAAACGATCAAGCCTGTAAGTAATTATATTCAATTACTAAGTATTAGACACCCCTACACCAACCCAAAATAAAAAATCCAAAAATATCGACTGAATATCGTGTGAAGTCTAAGTTGCAAACCATGCCTGCCAACTCACTGGCCAATGTCAAATTGTTGCAAGGAGAGATTAAACTATATATCAACAAGGCTGTTCACATAGGGAACCATCCTGAAATCATGCACATCTTCAATCGTCAATTGTTTGACCTCTTTAGTTCTCATGTTGTAAGGAACAAGTGTTTTCCCCAAATGTATCACCATAACATCACCGCCAACAAACAGCACACTTCCCTGACGAGCCCACCCATCGATCCATGCATTATCTAAAGTTAAACTTACATCTTTCATTGTCCATGCTTTTGTTTTGTTGTTCATTTGCATCGTGTTTGTGAAGGCATTTGACAGCTCAGCTAAAGTTACTTTCGTGCCATTTTTGAATGCATAACAAAGCTTCTTATTCACCTCACCCAATGCACCAGATGAATAGTAAGAACAAGCATTACAGCCTGGGAGGAGTTTTGACCGCTCAGTCTTAAGATCAAAAGCAATAATTCCAGCATTAATTGACTTCCAGTACACAGTACCATCAACATGAACACCTGATCTAGGAACAATCTGCCGATTGCCAAAGCAAATCTCACGAGAAGTTCTCCAAGATGCTTCGTTTGAGGAATAAATCTCAAACTCGTATCCATCCAGGTCAGATGGAAATGCACAGATCAGCGTGTACTCGGCCACAAAATTCAGTAAGGTTGGCTCAAAGACAAGAACAAGGGCAGGATCCGCCCCATGGTAACCATCAGGTTTAGGAAGTTTTTTCCACTGCTTGGTAACAGGATTACAGATGTAGTAGGCATTGTATCCAGTCTGACCCTGGCAGCAAAGAAGTCCATTAGTAGAACACCTGATGTCAACTGGTTCAGGTAAAAACTTCAAAGATGGGTCTGGAACGCCAAATGCAATTGGGTCAAGGGAAACAAATGATGGCAGAGATGAAGAGGATTGACAAAAGAACCCTGATACATCACGGAAACTATTCGACTGACTGTGAGCAAAGAAAGGAGTTGAAATATGAAACTTCCAATCCCGACAAACACCTGTGCAGCGACGAAGAGATTTAGCAGGAAGGTAACAAAGTGCATTCTCCCTGATAATATCTTTGAGATCCATGTAGATCCTGTTGTTTTTGTTGGCAAGGGACGTGCTAGATTTCTTTCCTCGATCCATTTAACTTCAAAGTAAAGTTTGAATCTGCTCACTTAACAGCATCCAAAACTTATTTATCAGAATCACCAGTCACAAATATGAGAATAGTAAACCCCCAAAGATATATGTGCTTGTGAAGAGAGAGGATTAACTAGTCCATCCAACAGGATAACATGACAAGACATATAAAACTAAACTGATTAAATATAAATTTTGGTTATTCCTACATTTCAATGAGCTAAACTGTTTAGGAATATATCAATTTTGATTGTTGGAATCTTACGGGGGAAAGTGATGCGGGAAGTAAGATTCCGGTGTTTGGTAGGTATAGGAAAGCTACATTCCCAAGAAAATCGAATTTCTGAATAGTTGGATCCCATCCCTACTTTACCATTTCAAAGGGTGAGAAAGTTGAATTCCAATAGAAAAATAAGATAATTTAAATGCCATTCGTACTCTTAATTATCTACTTTCCTAAGAAAAAGAAAAATCAACATTCCTAAAGTTATTTTCCAGGAAATCTACTTTTCAAAAAATGAAATTTTCCACAGGAAAGTTTGATTCCGCTAACCAAATGTCAAATAAAGTTTAGATACATTAGCAATCAATAATATATTATTTTCAATTGGACCATAATTTAAATCATATTCTTCTTAAAATTAAAATGTCAACCTAATTATTAAAGGAAAAGATTATTTCTTAATTAAGTTCATGCAAAAACCACATGGTGATTATAATTTGAGATAAAACAAAGTAATTATAGAATTAAATTCTGAAAATAAGAGTCATTAGTAGTGTATTTGAGTATAACAAGAACTAAATAATAACTCACATTTATGCTTAAAGGGTATTCGTCACTTCAAGTAATTAATACAACTAGAAAAAAAAATTATTAAGAAATTCAAAGTAATTGGAAATAATTTACATTTAACACAATGCAGATGGCATAAAGACTAGGGACGAAGACCCAAAACAATTTTTCAAATTTCTGAACCTTTTTGAGTAACCAAACAGACTCTTCAATGCAAATTAAGAACACAGGAACAATCAAATTTTACACAATCAAGAGGAGATTAGGCAGAGTAAATCAAGCTACGGTCATTCAATTTTTTTCCAGTAAACAATAAACGGCAAAACAAACAACAATTAATCTGATCATCAGCGTCGAAACAAAGCTGATCTTTTGGAGTAATAGAAAGAAACCATACCTCAACGGATTTCTTTATCGCTTTTCGATTTTGATCGGCAAGAGTAAAGTGATCGAGACCCAAGAGGTAAAACCGTAGAAGTATTTTCACACTGTTTATCCGGCCTTTTGGGCCCCTTTCAAAGTGTAGAGAAAACCTAGGAAAAGACTGCCTGTTGTTGGCTAATGAATTCCCAGCACGCTAAGGACTGTTTGGATGGAAGAGCATGTTTGGTTGGTGGTTCTATTAATTCAATCCAGCTTTCCGTTACCACATAAGCTTACATGGAAAAAGAAATTTTAAATTCTTTTCTAGACTTATTATTTAGTTAGTTTTCTTGAACATTGATTGCAATTTATTTGTACTAATTGATTTTACACCTTGCAAGTAAATGTAATTTAATATATATAGCTTAGCATGAAAAAGAAATTTTAAATTCTTTTTCTAATGAACTTATTATTTAGTTAGTTTTTCTTGAACATTGAATTGCAATTTATTTGTACTGAATTGATTTACACCTTGCAAAAAAGTAAATGTAATTTTAATATATATATATATATATATATTTTTTTTTTTTTTTTCTTTCTTTTGTATTAAATTTTAATATTATCAACAATTTATATTATTAAAAATAGTTAATTCACAAAAATAAAATGTTATAAATTTTAATATTATCAACAATTTATATTATTAAAAATAGTATTCACAAAATAAAAAAATATTTTATGAAATAATAAAATAACAAAATTCACTAATTAAATAGCTTATTATATATTTATCATAATAAAATATTATTATAATTTGACAACCAAACTTTCATGAAAAAAATTACTTATCCACCAATTTAAATATAATTCATATCGGTAACATTGGTGACGGAAGGATTAAGCTTCATCAGTAAAGCCAATGGCTGCCAACTCCACAAGCGGCACCAAGGACAAGGACCTTCAGATTAGGAACTGCCTCAAAACCATAGCCACGACGAAGGAGATGAAAAGAAGAGGAACAGTTTGTTAGGGTTGTGAGGGATTTGAACAATGAGCTCAACATTTTTACGTTTCGATAGAGAAACACAGAAAAATGAAGACATAGGGTTTTGAAGTGAGTTTTATAGTCTGGAGGAAGATGAGTGCATTAGCACTTAAGGAGTGATCTGAGTAAATTTATGGATTGTCCAAAACCCAAAGCATATTCTTGTCGTTTTCACTTTAGTTCACCTTTTCCGTTTCTTTTAAATGCTATTATTTAATTTTGTTTTAATTATTATTATTGCTCTTGCATTTCATTTTAATTTTATATTTCTTTTTGCATCTTTTCATTTTTGAAGGCATGCCCGGTTCATTGAACCGCTGGTTCATGAAACCGACGGTTCAAAATTTTTTAAAATATTGAACCTGAATCGACCCTTAAACCGTCGGTTTCAGTCTGATTTCGGTTCCGGCGCGATTCCGATGAACCGACGGTTCCGTTTACGGTTTTTGGCAATATATGTTTTTTTTTAAAAAATCGGTTTTAATATTACATCTTTCTGTCGTACATATTAATATGAATTTAAAAAATATTGATAAATTTTATTTTAAATAAATTTTAGAATGTTTATACTCATATAGGAATAAAATTAATTTAATAAATTTTAGAATGTTTTTATACTCATATAGGAATAAAAATTAATTAATTTAACCAAAACAATCAAAATAAAAGTTTATCACTTTTATTTTGTTTTAAATGTTATTTAATTAAAAAGTTATAAGAAAATTTTGAAAAATGCTTATTTTGTTTAAATGTTATTAATTAAAAAGTTATAAGAAAATTTTGAAAAATGCTTCAAAAGAATGTAATTTTAAACTTAGCAAACAATTTAAAAGGGTAAAAAAAAAGTTAAAAATAACATAAGTTTAGACTAAATATTTCTCTTTTTTTTAATAATTTACTTTTTAGATTTTTATTTTTTAAAGTAAAGTGTATTTAAAAAAAAAAATTCTTAAGTAAAGTATATCATGTAGTATAATATTATTTAGACTCTTAGAGATGCATAAAGGCTAAGTGATTATCATTTTAAAAATAAAAATAGAAAATTTTCGGTTCGAACCGGACTGAAACTGCCGGTTAACCGCTGATTCCGATTCATATTTTAACATTTGCATGAACTTTAATCGGCCCTTGAGCCGCTGGTTCTGGTCCGATTCTGATTCGTCTACAGTACGGTTCGATTCCAGTTCGAACCAAATCGGTGGCCATGCCTAATTTTATGTGCTGGTACTTATTATTTTAATTTTCATTTAGATAGAATTAATGTTAGAATTTGTATTATATCTTAAAAATTTTAGTATTTATAATTTTTTTATAAAAATTATTTAATATTTATAAATTTTATATTTTTAATTATATTTAAAAATATTATATATAAAAAATCTGGTTGAACTGTACTAAGCTTGATCGAATCCTTCGATTCAGTGAACCTTTGGCTTCACGATTCATTGACCGGTCTGGTTCTCAGAATATTGAAAAAATCAATATTAACTATTATAATAGTTATTCCCTCCGTTCTTTTTATATAGAAACAACTAATTTTTCACTAAGATTAAGATAGTAGTTTAATCAACTTTTTTGTTATTTTTTCTCTAATTTACCCCCCTAATATCTCATTTATTCCTCTAATATCAATGTATCCTTTAAAATATATTTCAATCTTTAATGAGGCTTTAAATGATTTTGTTAGAATGACGAGACTACAAGCAGTTGTAAAAATGAAATTTATGCTCTAACTTATTGAGAGAAATTCATTTTTTGTCCTTTATTTGAAAAAGTTAAATGAAAATATGAAAATTTTTGTGCATTTAACTTCTCAACTACCTTTAGTTATTGAAAACGTACTTTAAATGTTGCACAATTTTTTTAAGTATTTGCGAAGTTTGTAAGAATTCATTTTAATATGGTCAACATGAAAATTTTGTAACCCATTTTTCTATTCAAACTTCATTTTAATCAGTCTTTATTTGAAAAAGTTAAATGAAAATATGAAAATTTTTGTGCATTTAACTTCTCAACTACCTTTAGTTATTGAAAACGTACTTTAAATGTTGCACAATTTTTTTAAGTATTTGCGAAGTTTGTAAGAATTCATTTTAATATGGTCAACATGAAAATTTTGTAACCCATTTTTCTATTCAAACTTCATTTTAATCAGTGCTCATATAACCTATACGAGCAAATATTTTTTTTTTCAACGTAAATTGATGTAAAAAATTCATTCTCCAAAATTTATTTACTTTAAATGCTGACTTATATTTTTATCTGCTACTATCTTGAAAATCTCTCACACAAAAAGTTTCGCAAAAAACTAAAACAAGGGTAAGATAAACTTTTCACGTTGATATGGTTTCGAAACTTATCAAATTAGGCAAAATTTTCTAAATAAAAAGAACAACTAAAATTAAAACTTTCCTATATAAAAGGAACAAAGTGAGTAACATATTAATTATTGTTTTAGGGTATCATTTGTAATTTTAGTATTTTTCTTTTTTACTAAAGTCTATAAACATATAATTAAGTTTATGGTTACTTTTTTAAGAAAAGAAATTCTTCCAATGTCTTGTATGATTTGCTAATATAATGTGTTATGATATAATTTTATATTTTGTGTATATTCCTAGTGACTTTGATTTTTTTTTATTTTATATCAAATAATAAATTATGTAATATATTCCTTAATAAATAACAATAGCTTATTTTTATTTTTTATATAATAAATTATTTGTAAGAAATAATTATAACCAATCAAATTAAAGATTTATTAAAAATAATAATTAAAGATATTATATTCTTAGAGTAATCGAGCCCCAAGCCGGATTAGTTGGTCCTTAAATAGGTTCGAATACCAGTAGTTTATACCAAAAAGATATTATATTCCTACCATTTTAATATGTAACTTATATAGCATAATATAATCAATCAAAATTAAATTACCTTTAGTTTTCAACTAATAAAATTAAAATCTTTAAAAATATTATCTATATACCTTACTTAATATATAACGAGCACATAACCCGGAATGATGCAACAGTTAATTATCATAAATTGTATATTTATGAAAATAATTTTAAAGTTTTGTCATCATGTAATAAAATATAGTATCACATAATAAAAGTTTATGCATGATAATTTACATTTGTTGACATAATAAGTTGTGTCATCATGATAATTTACATCATGTAATTTACATTTATATTTATAAAAATATATTGATATTGAGTTAGAAACTAATTATTTTTTAAAATAAAAATAAATAATGCAAATAAGATGTTATGGGTTTGGATCAAAATCCAAAACGCAAAACGAAGAACATTGAAATTTAATGTTTGAGGAACAATGGATATGCTAAAATCGTAGTTTTTGTAGACCATATTTCATCTAATAATTAATTGGATATTTATGTGATCACGATTACAATAGTAGATTGGATTCCACCAGGTATGTGTCATGTTTAGGTTCTCAGTAAAATATAAGAAATGTTAGGCCTTACACATTCTTCTTCCACAAAGGTTTTATTTATTCACGTTATTATTTATATTATTATTTTTATTGTGTTATCCATATCCTAGAAATTATTTCGTGATTACAGTAGTGTTCGGTTTGTAATAATTAGTTTAACTATTAAGTAATGTCCTCGGATGATATTTGAGCTTTCTTCCTGAAGATACCGCGGGTCTGTTAAGTAGCTATCTTATTTTATGGATTTGAGCGCAATCGATTTTCATTAAAAAAAAAAAAAAAAAACTGCCTTGTCGCAAATTAATTTCAAGACAAGAACATTAAATTTATATTAAATCTTTTTGTGCATACTGACACTCCTAGTATAACTCGGATATACCTAAGGCCAAGCATCTCATGTTACATTTATCTACGCCCTCTAGAAAACTTATAGTTTAAGGTAGTTCAATGTTAAAATAGGCCAAATGCATAAGTGCTTGTTTGGTTTAATGATTTGTTTGGTTTAACGGTTTCAGACAGCTAGTAGCGGTTACCGATAGGGGATAGCTGATAGCGGATGAACGGTGAGTGTTTGGTAAATGTGTAATTAGTTGTTGCTGTTAATATATAAAATGACCAATAAGGGTATATTTTTAAATAAATTAAAATTTACATATAAAATATTTCTAATACATTTTTAATGAATTAAAAAATAAGAAAAAAATAAAAATAAAAATTTAATTAAACTACGTGTCTTAATTAATAAAATCTATGAGCATATTGATA